GTATACAAGGAAGGTACTTTTTTTTTCTTTCACCCTTTAAAGCTTGACCCATCAAATAAAATGCCATAAAGCCATAAATGCCACGCACTGATAAAATAATAATAAAAAAAGAAATTAAATATTAATTTAAACAAAATCTCGTCTGAAACGATGCATTTACCACTGCAAGGTTCAAAGAGTCCAGATCAGGTGAACAGTTTTACAGACATTGAAGGTTGAAAAGGAAAAAAAAAAGTTACTCCAGGTAGCAAATCCAAAAGAACTTTTTTTTTTTTAAGAAAGTTTCTGACAGTATTGCATCCAGAATATGTGATGGTGTTCTCTCTTTTCACAGTACAAACCTTTGAAATGTATGTGCTTTGTGTAGGAGAAGTTGCAAAATTGTGGTTTCTGCAGAGATCAGACATCCAAATGTTTCGGGGGTTTCATTATTTAATGTTAGCTTGAGCTACACTCCTGAGAGTCCATGTTCAAAGAGCCATAGTACCAAGTATTTACTCCCCAAATTTGAAGGACCTTAACTCAAGTAGTTTTCTGGGTAATGTTGTTGTTGTTGGTTTGGTTTTTTTTGGGGGGGTAAATATGATGAATGTGGATGTGATGAGTCATTTAGCTAATTACCACTTTGAAGCCTGTATTTTTATCAGTATTCTTGTTTTCTTCTTCTTTTCTTGGTGATTTAGAAATGATACAAACTTGATTTAACTTCGAAACATTTGAGATTTAGAGATCGTGCTCAGTTCTGGTGTGTCAGCACTCGACACTTTATTAATGGCAGGTCAGGCCTGTTTTTTTTTTTTTTTGTTCCTTCACGCCTACCTTCATTCTTTGTTTTGGAAACATTCAGAGATTTTGGTCTATAAAGATATGATAGGATCATGAAGTTGCTGCAGATTTGTTAGCTCCACTCCCAGTTTACGTCCAGTCAAGTCTTTTTTTCAAGAAATGAGACAATGAGCTCATTTTGATGAACCTGTGTGAATACAGCCTCAGTTTTCTCTTCTTCGGCTGAGTTGACACTCTGTGTTCCGCCAATATCTTGGGCTCACTTTGGACTCCATAACATTTAAATGTCACAGTAAAAAGCTACAGAATTTTAGGCAAATTCAGCTTTCCTTATGGACAATGCAGCTAGAATGTTACTACACTTGTTCATTGACATGAGAAACAATAAATCCATAGAATCACCAGTCAACATAACTTTTTTTGCCATCCTTATTTAACCACCCTTCCATTCTGGAATAACACACACTTGAGGGGTTGTTTTTGTCTGATTTGTTATTTGCGTTTCTTTTTTGCTGTATATTTGTGTGTCTCTGATATTAAACCATTATGTGATCTTCGCTGAAACTAGATGTAAATGAGCAGTTTTGTTATTATCTGGCATGTTTAATATATATATTTTCATACTAACGTTCATTTGCATGCATTGTTCATGTTAAATTTAGAGAAAAATCAGCACTTAGACCAGTCAATCTAGCAACAACAACAAAGTCGTTTTGTTGCCAAGTTTGAACTTCAGCAGGTCGTCTTGACCATGTCTACATACCTAAATGCACTAAGTTGGTGCCGTGTGATTGACTAATTAGATATTTATGTTACCATGCAGTTTAGTATCTAACTGAACTCAAGATCACAATGAAATAAAAACAAAAGGACACTTTAAATTCTTTTATTAAGGATTTTTCTTCTGTATAGTCATGAAGGAGTTTCTCTGTTCCACATGTTAGCTGGTCAGCAGCACATCTGTACAACCATCTGTACAACAGGAGGTCAAATGTAACAGAATGAAATGATAATGAAACCAGTGGCTTCTGGTAGAAGGCAGCTCAGACAGCTAGACAACACCTGACTGACTGAAGAGACGCTCCCCCCTCCAATCTATTTACAGCAAGGTTGGTCACTGAACAGAGACCAGCTAAAATTAAAATTCAAAAGGTTATGACATAAAAAAAGGAGGGAAAAATAAACTAAAATTTAATCATGAAAGACCCGCTAAAAGGTGCATCTGGATTTAGTTTATTTACATTCCAATTTCAAGCAATGCCCACAGACCTCTGATCATAAATTAACATCTGCCGGCCTTAATGAGGTCAGTACCAAGACAGCAGACAGCGATGCTGCAGTTTTATCTAAAAACTGTGTACTACCGACACTCACTCAAACTTTAATTGAGCTTCTGGTGGAAGTACAAAAAACAGGCTTTACACGAGGGCCTTTCATTTTGTTCCAGCGAAGCAACCTCAATTCTCCACTGAAAACATCTTTTCACTTCAGTTTAATTTCAGGTTTTTTGAAATGTTTTCCTCATTTCTGCTTGAGTCATCTTTTCTTCAATCTCCTCATTCAATTTTTCCCATTTTAGTCATTTCATTTTCATTTTCCCAATTCACAGTTACACAAATAATTCTACTGTGATAACCTACCTACACTATCAATTAGTCAATAAGTCACAACTTGAAAGAGGACACCCAAAAAAGGTTTCATTTGTTATTCTGAGGGTCAGCTACAGTGTGTTTAGTTCAACTGAGTTAATTCAGGCTTGCAAGTCAAAAAATCTGAAATAAAAGTGGCCCTATTGTGCTTATTTTTATTATATTCTTGGACTTTAATAGTGTTACCTCATGTGATTGACAGTTCAAAGTAATTTTATTGATCTTATATTGAGCCTAGGTGTAGCACTTGAGTTCATCCATCATCTAAAACAAGCCAAGCAACCTTTCTTCTGATTGGCAGCCCCTCACTAACAGAAGGTTTATACAGCCAGTGGGTGGAGCTTCTCTGTTCATAACCAAAGCTCTGCGCTCCTACTTGCATATATGTTGACCTCCATTATTCGAAACTTTGCCCATCCAGCACTGTAACAGCATTAAGCACAATAGGACCACTTTAACATTCATTTGTTTTACCCTCAAATTTACCACTAACAGAGGTCAGGAGACATGAACCATCTCTCCTGATTGAGGTGAACTCCATAATGGTCAGAATCACCGTCCCGGTGCTTTCACTCCAACTGTCTCATTAAAGGCATTCGATTTCAAAGACCATCAGCCCTGCTGCGTTTCACCTGACATGACCAGAGGTGAATAAAAGCATACAGCTACATTCATGTGTGGTCCCTCCCCATGATCTATAGGGAATTTAAAGGTTATAAATAAAGACCCGTTAACAGAAAAACAC